TATTATTATTATTATTATTATTATTATTATTATTATATACATTGAGTTAAATTGTTATCTGAGAAAAAGACCTGCCTCTTCAGGCTGACAAGCAAAAGTAAAACCTTCCCCTCTCAACATAAACCCTGACAAGATGACCACTGCACTACAAATATACATTTTAATCTATGGGCTTCATGTTCCACAGAAAGGATTTATGAACCAAAAACATCGTCATGGCTGTTCGTCTGTGAGTAAAAATGTTAAAGACTGAGTAATCTCTGCCTCGTTTTGAGAGGACATTAGGATAAAGAGATTGTGTGACCCCAAAGCGGACAGGCCACTGATTTGAAAAAACACTCCAGCTTATAAAGACAAATATCAAAATTTGCATTTCGTAACTCTTGTGTAACAGAATTTAAAGCATTAGATTTAATAAGGAGGAAATTTTCAAAAATAAAACCGAATAAGGGGGAGGGGACTTTAAGCACACAACTGTTTTAGCAATTTTTAGTTTATTTAAGTGTTAGACAGAGTATTTACATAATGACCCATCTTCATACAGTATATTGTTTGAAAAAAAAAAAAAGAAAAAAAGAAAAAAACAGCCCAGGGGAGATTAAATGCCTGGGTGGAAATTTGGCCCGTGGACAGGGACTCGCTGAGCGTTCATACTCTGGATTCATCAGACAGACAGATGTTGTTGTGGGACGAACTGTGTGGAGCTTAAAACAGGCAGACAGATGGGGCACCGAGGCTTATAATGCCAATTAACAAAAGTGAAGCTGTTCTCCTGATAAACACATCTGTGAGCGGCACTGAACAGATTGAATACAAGAGGTGATATTATGGCTCTAATCTTACTTATTAGGTAACTTCATTTTGGATTTTTTTATTTTATTTTGAGACTTAACATCGATTGTTGTCTTGCTTTTATCTGCCTTTTAATACCAAAATAAAAGAAAYGTTTGTATCTGAAGAGTGCATGGGGGCTTTTCTATCCCAGTGGATGCGGTGCAGCGAGCCTGAAGAGGCCAAGAATCAGATGATGTAATACTTGCTGCCATGCCTTTGCCCTGATCCTTCCCTGATCCCCCTAACATCTAGCATGGACCTTTTCCACATTAATCCACACTAATCTCTCTTTTGGTCACTCTCAATCCTGAGGAAGCTATTCTGACCAGAGCTGCAGTTTTAACCCTTCATTTGTTTCATGCCTAACTGCTGGTTACCACAAAAATATTTTTGCTTTTGTCTTGTGTGTTCATTTGTCTGTACTGTTAGCAAAACATCTCCTGAATAAAATACACGTTAATGAAACGTATATCTAAAGCTGAAAAACTTTCAGGTGGCTGCAACAGCTAATCACCCTTAGTCAATAGAAAAATGGTTAAACCTCAATGTTTGGCATGGYAGCCGAAAATAGTTTCCAGCACATATTATATTGGAGTATTGCATACTGTTACTGTCAAAGTTGGAAAAGCTCACAGCATAAAATGATCTTAGCTTTAGCTCCATCATGAAAGATATACATCCCGTCCAGGTCTCCTAGGCCTTTAATAAACTTTCTGTAAAGAGTCAGATGCTCACAGCACAACCACAGTGAGACTTAATCATCATTGTCACATCTTTTCCTAACTTGTGAGTTTGTTACATAACCTTACATATGAACAGCATTGTGTAACACTAAATGCTATAATAAGATTGCTGATTAAATTCACCTCATTAAGCTGATTACTAYGTAAGCTCAATTTCCATGATACTAGTTGGTTGAATAATTAAGAATCCACTTATTTTTAGAATGTAATCACGCCAGTCTGGTTAAGGATATAGATAATTAAAACATTTTTCAGCCCACATCAGCAAAACAACACTGATCAGAAATCAAATTGAGGTCATAAATTGCTTTGAGACTAAATTTGTGTGGACACCCATGAAAATGTAAACAAATCTACACAACATATTGGAAGTTTCCATTAGCCTACTACAAATTGTAGGTTTAGGGGAAAGTTATAAAGAGGACATGGATTTTAATGATAAGTTAAATTCATTAAGAAAACACTGTCTAATCACATTTCTCAATATTTTATAAAAAAAAAAATTAAACACAGGCTTTTACCTAGTCTGCAAATTAACTTGCTGTTCACAAAAAAAATCTATTTAATTTTTTAAAAATTAAAGTAATAATTAATGGTCATTAGTTCTGTTAAAAATCCAACAAAAGTACTTTACTCCTACTT